GTCTATTAAATAAAATTATCATATTTATTATAGATATACCGGAAACGGTAATGATTATACATTTCCGTTAATAATATTCACACGATGTTTGCGAAACGACTTTTTCGTTTTATTAAACGGCTGATAAGATTTAGGTCCTTCGCCACGATGCGGAATTTAAAAAAAGTAATTTCTAACAACACGGATATTGATAGAAAAAAAAACAAGATCATTCTACATTTAAAATATCTCCGATTCCTAAAATATTTAAAAAAAGATGTTTTTTAAATACCATAGAGAATATTTTCAACGTCCATCTCTTTTTTTAACATCACGATTTGGTCACTGCATGCAAGACTTAAAGCATTGTATCCAAAGTCACGATTTCTTTGTTAAAAGCTGTTTATAACTACTTAATGCAAGAACCGTGATCTTGATGAGTGTTAATTATTGTTTTGTATTATATTATTAATATAAATTTGCTTTTTGTGTTTAGTAACTTTTTTATAAGGTTTGGAGCGACGTTTAGTCATTATCGTCCATAGTCCGACTTATACATCATACGATGTTTAATAGAAACATCTACCAGTCTATTGTTTCGGACTAGTGGTGTTCATGTAAAAAAATATCGATACTTTTCCGATGTGACATACCGAAATGTTGTATCGATTTTTGGCGATATATCGGTACAAAACATCGATACATCGTAAATAATTGTAAAAGATAAAAGGAAGGAAATTTTACTACGAGTAAATAAGTAAAACCACTAGTTTTGACACAATAATCAAATGTATTTATTCAATTACTGAATCCCAACACAAAACAATATCGCCCGCACACTAGCAATTTTATTGTCACTATTTCTGTGTGTGTGCGGCTAGCCAATGAGAATATAACCACTGCGTTACAATGACGTATGACCAGCGAATCAGCGATCGAAGTGCGTTTCGTTTCTACACGTACAATTTTGAATTGTATTCTTTCAACTTTGTATGATTTTTCATGTAAAAAATAATCATAAAATATATCGATACCGAATGATACGATGATATCGGATTGATTCGATATATTGATGGCATAATACATCGATATTTATTTAATACATCGATACATATTCTGCACCCTTCTCCTTTAAAAATATATAGATTTAGATGGTATAGTCAAATGAGTATTGGTAATCTAAGTACAACTTTTAAATTTAAGTTATATGACTGTCTATCTGGGTGGTCAGGGCTAGCACCGTTGTTAGATACAAGTAAGGAAATAAATGAAAAGGATAATGCAAAGAAGAATATTACCTAACTCGTCATAAAACAATGCCTTAACATCTGGCATTGACGACCCCTCATTCAGCCAAGTTTCACGTAAAAGCAATATTTTTCTCACATCTGGCTGTTCGTTCGTTTCCTTTGCATTACTTCCGCTGCCGATTGTGCCTAGTTTGAAAACTGAACATCTGGTTCCAATTCCGAATTTTTGATTGTTATTTGCCTATTCGAGGGTTCCTTGTTTGAATTTCAAAGGTAATAAAAGTTTTGTTTAAAAAAAACAATTGGTTTTTGTGGCTTCGACTTCGGAGCGTTTTTCCCAAATTGCATAAACATAAGCACATTCCATCAATGAAGGAAAACAATGTAACTTGCATATTGGATAAATAACTACTTAACGCATCTGAACTATCATATAACTCACCCTATTTAGAAGTAACCCTTATTTTTATTACTTTGGATATCCATTTTAGAATCTCGCCTTTTCCGTAGCCTAAAAGATTGATTTTGAATTTTCGAACGGGAAAGGCGGTATTCCCCGGCAATGTCACAGTCATCCGGGATCAGGGACACAAGTTCAAGAACCGGCGAACAATATGTGCCGTATCGAGCAGGACTTTATTATTATTACAAGGTGCTAACAAGGGGTACAAATTCATTAATTAGAAGCATTTATCACATGTACAGCTGTACTATCAGCAGAGTTGACGCAGTACCATTTAACGGGTTATTTTTGCGTGCAAGCAACAGCGGTCAGTACTGGCCACGAACAGCTTGCTTCCTCTTGTCAACTAATGGCGTTAAATGACTGAACTGATTTTTACTTTACCGGAGTAATCGCGTAAAAAACACACACAAAACACAGTCGAATAGAGAACTTCCTTTTTTGAAGTCGGTTAACAAACGAAATACTAGAAATAAAGACAAATCAATCATGCCTCAATTCTGATTACATAAAATTACATATTTGAATCCACACGTAAAATAGGGTCCTTGACGTAGAGTTGTGAACACCAACCTGTTACACCAAAGTACCAAGTACATATTCCAATAAAATACCGACCGAAATTTCATGTTTACCGTTTTCTAAGTTTAAAGCATACTTTAAAAATAAACTTCTGGCGAAAGGGTATACTATACCGTTCATGACTACATGAATGATAACAATGCGTGGAGTTAATATTATATGGTTTTGTTACCTCATTACCATTTTGTAGGAATTGTTTGTTTTTTTACCATGTGTATTGTTTTTGTAATTACTAAAGTGCTTGCAAGTCAGACTTACTTGAATAAAACTTCATTATAATTATCATAAATTCGTATTGAGAATGCAAAATTAAAACTAGTTTTATTAACATAATATGCAAGACCACTAAAATTAAAAAACTTACCTACCAAAAAATATATTTTAAACATTTTATATGATCAAAACGCAAGGTGTTATAGCAGCTGTGCGTAAATAACAAGATACTGTGGCCATTATATGGCAGATGGCACGCGTCTGATGTCCTTATACCTTAAATGATATTAAAAAACTACAGGTAGGTATGGTCAACTGAAATAATAACAAGGATAGACAGTAAATTACGTAAGTACAATACCTCCAACTTTATTTTTTGGTGATTTTCTGTTATTTTTGTAAACAGCTACATTTATTCTCTAATATTATACTCCCAGAATTTCATGTAAAAAAATAAAGAAACAAAAAACAAAATTCGAAAAAAGCAAAAAAACGAATTTTGTGAAAAATAAAGAGGAAAAAAAAAGAAAAAATGGCGAGTTTTAATAGTTACATTTTTACACGAATTAATTTTTAGTTTATGTATATTACGTTGGGCGTTTCTTGATTATTTGTTAAGCTGATGGATGCCAATGCTTTATAAATAAATAAATATTAATAAAAATAAAGAAACAAAAAATAAAATAAAAACAGAATAGGTCAAAAAATGAAGTTGGCTTAGTATTTATTGGAGGTATTTATATTTATTTATTATTATTATATTTATATTTATTAGCCGCAATTTTCCAGCTCAAAAAAAAAACCGCCTACTTCCATTGTTTCTTACTACCTCCAGGAACGTAGTAGCAGTAGAGCTCATTATGAGGTCGTCCAGGGAAGCACTGCTTTTACCCATTGCTTTTACCACGTTACCCATTTCTGTCGTTAAGCAATAATATAAGGTCATTATCTGATCAATGGGTTACTAGTTTTTGATGAAATAAAAAACAATTTAGTCCAGAAACAGCGACTTAACAGACTCGCTAAGTAGATCACAAAGTTAAAAAAACCGGCGGCAGTAATTTTGTACGAACAATACTATTGCTTATCTAATTTTTCCTTAAATTTTCCACATTTAATGTTGACACCTGTCAAAAGTTGATGTTATTGAATGAAAACGATGGAGCTTTTAAAAAGGTTTGTTTTCGCTGATGTGAAATCATTTAAAACCTCGTTTTTCTTAATGTGCCTATTAGTTAAACGAGTTTATTTTATAATTCACGCTACATAAAACTTCAAAAGATATTTCTAAACGTAGAACATAATATGAGCCTTGGAAATTATATTTCTCAAATGGGATGTTTTTCTGGAAAAATGTCCACTATTTTTAAGTTGTTAATAATGTTTCTTTAATTATTGTAATTGGTATGTCCGTAATAATTAAGTGACAATAAATAAATAAACAAATCATTAAGTTGCTTGGCAGATGTCTGCAGTTTTCATCGCGTAGTGTTCCGTCACAGAACAGCTCATGGTCAAATACTTTTTTTCTCCAGAAAAGAAACTTCCGGTTAGTCATTTCTTTTCAGTTTTAAAACTGTTGTTGTCATTTTAAAATTCAGTTAGTTGTAAGTGACAAAATATTTTTTTGAGATGTCATAAAAAACCATAATCCAGTTTTAGGACATTGAAATTGTTTAATAATGTTTCAGTAAGTTCCGAGAAGTCGAACACATTAACTAATTTTAACTGTTTTGAAAAGAGAAATTTGTGCTCATCTTTTTCTATTCGAAACGGATATTTGACCATTTGTCACTTACCCGCGTTTTAGTTACTGGACGGCAGATATTAAAGTAAATAAAAAGTTTAACTGCCTCGGTGGCCGAACGGTTACCATGCCGGACTGCCATGCTGAGTCCCAGGTTCTATTCCCGGGTCGGGAGAAATATTTGTATGGCCTACATTTATTTCTCTCGTGAGTTTGGGTGTAATTTGTGGTTGTCTACGTGTGTGTCCATGGCACCCGCGACACAGGGTTTTCCTAGTGCGGGGCTATGTTGAGTGTGTACGTTATTATTATTATTATAAAAAATAACGTAGTAGATTAAATACCTTTAACCGTTAGACATTAACTTATGAGTACCTTCATTTTTTTAGTTAAATTATTAAACAAATTTTTTAATCGTTCAAGTTAAAACATATATTTATTTATTTATTAAAGCTTGGGTTAAACCATTTGCCTAAACATTAGTTATTCAAAGTATGTACAGAGTTTTAAATGTAACAAAAACAATAAACATGAAGGTATATGGTAAACTAATTATTACATTATAAAATGTCATTAAAAAAAGAAATTAGATAATTATAATATTCTAAAGCGAGTAATAAAAACTATTTAAAAAGATATCCCATTTAAACTTGTGGTTTTAAAAGTTAAAAATCACACATTGGTTAAAATAACCGTCAAGTAACGGTAATATCATACATACAAAAGTATAACAGTGTGACGTAAATATAGTGGTAACAGAGCTTACCCAATCCAATCTTTTTCTTAATTTTCTTCAAAACTTTCATCTTAGACCCTTTCTTGTCCTTTACTGGTGTAGTTTCCGGTTCTAAAGCCATTGGTGGTAACACCAGGGTTGGTGGGGGGACCTGGGCCATATGGCCCGAGGCCCTAGGACACGCCGGGCAATGACAAGGCCCCCTTGCTTGCCTAACACTCATACAGCTATTAACTCCCATCATTTATAACGATCGGTCTCTTTATTTCAACTCAAAAACCAAAAAAATGTCTTAGAGTTACAAATTCATAATCCACATGAAAATCAATCTTAAACGGAAACACGTATTTTCAACACAGTCACAGTGTTCGTAATAACGTAACGTATCTAAGAGTCAATTTTTATTATTACGCGCACGCATTATCCATGAACGTTAATACCGGGGACGTGGACGCCCGCTCCCTACGGAGGATGACTGCGGAGTGGCGATATAGCGTTCTAGAAACGGGGGCCTGCGCGCGTTGGTAAACTTGTATGCAATTTTGAAAGGTGCGTTTTGTTTATGATTAGGGGTGGGATGGCGACGTGAGGGGAGTAACACCTGTCAGAATAGACTATGATTGTTGACTCTGATGTTTCTTTTGAAGGGGAGAATTAATAGAAACTTCGTTTAGTGACCAGGGGACAAATGTAGTTGTAAAAGAAAATAATCTCATATATATATACATATATCTACGTAGGTATAATATATCATTATTTTTTAAATATTTTATAAATTACTATGTGTCTTTATTTAATTTTTTTTTATTTTGTATTTCTTTTTTAATTTATACAACTTTATTTATTTGTTTATATTTGTAAAATTGGCACACTACGTCTCCCGCTCCGATTAGCTTTCTTCTAACCCTAAGGTTGTCTGGAAGAGATCGCTCTTAGCGATAAGACCGCCTTTGCCCACATTAGTTTTAAGTTGTTTATGTACTATTCTTGTTCTTGTGTGTGAGCAATAAAGTGTTTATCTATCTATCTATCTCAGTGTAGAGTACTAAAAAAACCGACCTCAAAAGTACGCGGAATTACATCTATTTGCCAAGTTTTATTGAAATATCCCTTAGTTCGCCACTATACAGGACTTGCCACAGGAGATAATAAAAATCGGTTCTCATTACTCAAAGCATATTGAGAGGGAAAAACGCCTTGAATTGGAGAATAGCAAAAAGGCCTGCGTTTATTGTTCTTCAAGAGCGACTACCTTCTAGATGTAATAGTAGCAGTAACGCTCCTCGCGTCTTTCACTTTCGTTCAGAGTACTACTGCCACCTTAACTATTTCTGCCGCCAAACAGCAATGTCAGCATTACTGCGTTCCGGTTTTAAAGTGCATTGATTTTACTTCAGGCACACAGAACTTGTCACCTTTATGTCTCAGCCGCAATGGCAACTTCAAGCAAAAATTACAACTGCTATCATTGACTTACAATTATATGGACGTCGGGTCCGCGCTAAAAGTGTCCGAACTTATAGGGCGTTAAAATCGTATACAGAGCGTCAGTCACGCTTTAGTCTTCGTTTGTTTCTTCTGACAGCGAAGCAAGCAAAATTAGACAGTACAGCGATGACATTACAATTTAAATTCAACGTTTTAGCTTTTTCATATTCCTTTACATGTGACTACGTTTAAATAGGTTGACTTGGGACATTTTTTTCGTGGTTTTTATATTAGACCCGTCGTCCATTTATTTGTAAGTCAATGACTGCTATGGTCAGGCGAGTCGTGACAGGCGCAGCGACTTGCGCGTCCCGTCATTTCGTGTCATAAAACACTTACGGGATGCCATTCTCCACTCCACCAAGTCTGCGGATATTGTGGAGTACATGCGAGTGAAGGCCAACGCAAACCTGAGTGTCGAGCGGTTGGAGTCGCGCCACAATGTGAATTTTAATTCATTTGTGGTGCGAGTACCAACTCAACACCTGTCGACCTTCATGAGAGAAGACTTTTGGCCGAAGGGTGTCATGTACCGGCGTTTCCGAGGACGGCTACCGGACACCCACGTTGCGTCACACGTCGAAGTACATACGTGTAAATAAATAGTGTTATATGTATATTATCATGTTATATTGTATTTATGATTAGTCCGTAAGGTATTTATTTAATATTTCTGTTATTGTTTTATTATTGTTATATTATATGTATGTTAGTCTGTAAGGTATGTATCTATGGGTCCTAGTTGCCTGAAATAAATAAATAAATAAAAATAAAATAAATAAATTGTGTAAGTTTGTGGAATTACATCTATTTGCCAAGTTTTATTGATGTCGGTTTGAAAGAAACCACTATTAAAGTACCCCCTTTCAAAAATAATAGAATCGGGTAACATACATACAAAAAATACAGTCTAATTGAGAACCTCCTCCTTTTTTCGAAGTCGGTTAAAAATAGAATCATCATGATCTTCATTGTGGCCTTTATTAGATCTAATCTTGGAAGTAGGGCTCTTCCGTCTTCTTTATTCATTATTTATTTATTTATCCGGTATCCCAATTGAGTAAGGAGCTTTTTGGAACTAAGGTCGCAAAAAGTTTCAAAGTCTCATTTTAAGTTGACAATGTCAGAAAGTTATAATTACAAGACAAGTTAGTCGTCTTATAATTATAACTTTAACAACAATAGAATTTGGAATTTCACATATTTTGAGTTACAATGTGATATATACAATATTTAATACAATATGAATTTTAATATCAATCTTAATGTATATAACTCAATAACAGAGAAACAGCATTCTTATATGACATCAGACAGAAAACTCTTCTTCCATTCTTGGCGATCTTGTCCCGACTCATCCAGTCCCCTTCCGTGTCGTCGGACCTCGTCCATCCAGCATCCATCAAAAAGGGTCCGCTCGTTATACCTCCGTAGTGTATACCCCCGATTTTAATAAATTTTGGATCAACATTTTTTGTCAGATATCTATTAAGTACTGTTAACAAGTAAAATGTTTCTGAATTTAATAATTTATGTATATGTCTATGGGTGTTCCAATAGTGACTTACTTATTATAAGTTGTTAATAAACCTGTGTTGGTGAAATAGTGCCTACCTATTATAATGCTAATTATTCCTAAACTCGTGAAAATAATAAAATATCTTAAGTAAAATGCTGATTATTAATCAATATTTACTCGTTGCCAAAATGAGCACTGCTAAAATTCTTAACCGACTACAAAAAAGGAAGAGGTTCTCAATTCGACAGTATGTTTATTTTTGTGTGTATTTTACTCGATAACACTATTTATGAACCGATGTTAATGATTCTTTTTTTGTTGGAAACTCATCAGAAGTGTCCCATTTAAATTTTAAGAAAATATTCCTAGGGAATGAATGACATTTGAGGTCAGTTTTTTCAGTACTCTGTACTGAGATTAAGTTATTTCAAATTATTTTCATAACGGCTAATATTACATACCTATTCAATTTTTTTTGTTTTCGTGAAAGCATTTTTTTGTCTGTCAGTACATTTTATTTAAAAATAGCTCTAAATTTAACATTTATCGTACGTAACGCAAATCAGGGACATACACCACGGGGGCGTACCAAACCGGGGGCATAATGAACGAACCCTTTCTTAAAAAAGACCGACCTCAAAAGTGATTCATACACTAATTTGCCATCCTTAGAGGTGGAACATTTTCTTCAAATTGAAATGGGACCACTTCTGAGGTACCCTCTTTGCAACAAAAAAATAATCATCAAAATTGGTTCACAATCGCTATGAGTTATCGCGTAACATACATAAAAAAACATACAAGAGAACCTCCTAATTTTTTGAAGTCGGTAAAAAAAATAGGATAGCAATCGAACCAAGACCTCGATAAATAAACTTTCTGTACCGCGATAGTTTTTAACAACGTAAATGGCAAATTTTTAATAACAATTAAAGTGTTTTAAGCCACGCCGACACGCAATAAAGAAATAAAGGCAGAATAAAGATTGAAAGATAATGCACATCCGTTTATTACTAACTTTGACACTAACAAAGAGTGAGGAAGCTTTACAGAAAGCTAATTACAGTACAAAGCCGTTGTTTGAACTTAAATACGTAATTAATTTACAGCTTATTTGTTTTCCAGGAACGGGATTCAAGGACGGTTTACGGCGTAAATTATGAATCAGTTATTTATAAGAAAAGCGGTATGACTAGCTCTTAGCACCAAGACAAAAGATCATCATTTATAAGCCGTCAATATGAATATTTTTTATGACTTAGTAGCACCTCTCCCTCTAGGGAAGTACTGCCTTGCCTTTTTCATTTACAGTCATATCTAGCGATGAGACAAACTGCTTATTTTCGTAAACGTTTAAACGTTGTAACTTTTTTAAAAAGGCGTGCTTTCGAGTTCTTAGGTTTTCGCGATTATTACACAAAGGAAATGAAATTATTTTTCCGGATTTAAATCGCGTATATTTGTTTTTTTCAAACAAACCAATGTTCCGGGCGCTTTACAGGTCCCATGGTCACGGTTGACTTCAACCGTTGAGTCAACAGTCAACCGGAAAAATAGTTTCATTTCCCAAGGCGTACTTTTTTAAACGCTTTTCAATTAATTAGCTCAATTTACTTTACAGTTATTTAGTCTTTACTTAGACTTAGACGCTTTTCAGTTCAGCGTTAAACGTCAAACATTTACGACAGACTTTTATCAGCTTTTATGTTAAAAAATACTAAGTAAGTTAATTCGTAAAACACCAGTTTTATTTTTATTCATACAATTATTATTCACACCGACGAATTAATTTGTTAAGGAAACTTAAATGGCGGTACTTGAAACTTAGACACGTTGTAATAAACCACCAACAACTGCTTACACTAAAACTACAGCTAGAGAAATACATAACATTGTTTAAAGGCTGAGTGCAACAGTTAATTTGTGGGGGCGGATTGTGAGAAAAAACGCCTGGTTGTAAATTGAGCTTCTTGTTCTTGGTTTTGCTTGGATCGCGGAGAGATTTGGAACGCCTTCGGAGTCTTGTGCAGTCAATTTTGGAATGTCGTTCCGCTCCCAACGCTCCGCTTTTTATATCATCGCTGGCCCGCCGTGCTGCTCGCATTCTATTCAAGTGTGCGAGCGGGACGGCACCAATGCAGGAGCGGGACGGGAGAACCCTACAGACTCCAAGCAAAACCCCTCTCTCCCTCTCGTTTATTTACCAAACCTTAAACTAAATTAACAATACCAAATTATAATAATAAATCACAATAATAAATTTACAATATTAAAAATCACATGGGCGCGAACACGTTTTCGTCCTGAACATAATTACTGGTAAACACCTCATGCCATAACTGAAAACTCGTAATTAAGTACCTATATTAAGATTAAAGAATAATAAATAAATAATGTCTAACCATTTAACAGTAAAAAAGAAACAAACGAAAACAGAAACAAAAAACACATGACCACCTATACTACCTACTTATTTAACAATTTGTTGTGAACAAGCACA